CAGCTTGTGATTTCTGAGCGCAAATCGCAAAACTCGATTGCAGCTGCGGATCAGAAGTTAACAGCCTTGCCAATCAAATCACCCATGATTTGGACAAATTTTTTTAAATTGCATAAAAAATGGCCATAGGAAGAAAAATTATGAAAATTTTGTAGTTGAAAAGATTTCTCTTCTTGACGTGCAGATCAAACACGTTTTGGCATCGATAAAAGTCAGACGGCTTGTTAAGAACTTCAGGCTTCCCTCTACTGAATAGTATAATAAACTTGGTGTCAAAGTCCGACCGAGCGCCGAAAAAATGCTTTTGAAAATGAAATTTTCAAAAGTGCCCGGGAACTTTCTTTACAACTTAATAGTAGTACTGGTTTATTACAATAAACGGACAGCAAGTTTTCCTAATTGGGAAGCTAAACAAGGAAATTTGATGTGTGCAGAATTTCTAACAAAAACCCAAAATTCACAGTTTATCGCATCAATCTGCTAGGTAGCTTTATATTGATTTTAGCCCAATAGGTAGAAAAACAATAGCATTTTAAAACACATCAATTTATTATTTGACAAGCATCAACCAGCAGAAAGAACTTGTTGCTTTTTATATAAAAAGCCGGAATTCCGTATTTCGAAAAACAAAAAAGGCTGCTTTTTCAGTGCATGGCTGTTCCAGGATTTTAACACATTTTTCTTATTCAACGCTTCATGCGCTTTTCAGTCCCTTATCTATCTTTCTCAGGAAGTCTGCCTCCAAAATAGGCGATTACAAGTTTACCACCCGCAAACTCATAAAAACCGCAAAACATCTCAAAAGATGCTTAGCATTTAGGTCGCATGCACTCTACGTCAGCCACGACAGTGATTATAAAAAAATCCGGCCCCGCGCTTGTCTTTTTTCGGCTTAACAAACGCATGATGCCAAGTGTCACTTAGCTAATGGTGATAAAATTCAAAGGTAAACGACGGACGTCGATAGCATGGACTGCACAAGATTAAAATTTCGTTGACAGGTCAGCAAATCAGGTTTAATATGTTTCCATTTGTTTCAATACAAATGCGACGAACGAGATAAATGCTTGCGGATTATCTAAAACCAAACGCTTTTTACGGGAACGCGAAGGAAAATGATTGGAAGTTTACCGTTGCGATTGTTTTTTTTAGAATTTGGGAAAAAGTAACCTTTGTGATTTTTCTTCATAACATCGTTGTTTTCTGGCTAGTCATCTGCCCTAATGTAAAGCCTGAAGTAAAAAAGCCAAGTAGTGGTAAAATCTAGAATATGACTATGAAAACACAAAAACAGATAAGTTTTTTTAGCAACAATCTTATATCTATGGGTGGCTCTCCTCTGAGCCATGGAATCAAGTATGCTTTTTCCGTATTTTTGTAATCCACGTGTTCAACTCAATTTTTACTTAGTTTTCCTTTGGATAAGAGTACTCGTAGTAGGTACTGCTTGATAGAGCAGCTTCCAGTTTCCAATGGACAAAGACGCAGAAATTCCTTTGATGTGAGGGCGTAAATAGCTAGCAAACAGAAAAAAAGTTCGACGTAGCCTTAGAGTAAGAAGCTGCCTCTTGGTTCAGATGCGATTTTCATGTTAGTAGGTCAGACCTTTCTGGACGAATTCCAAGAACATCGGGTAATTTAATTTTCTCCCAGGAAAAACTACTTGTGAGAACAGCATATGAATAAAGTTTTAGTGAATTTTGCGAGTTTGATACTCAAAAAATACGAATACAACTTATCTTTTCTAGCACCTCCCCCCCCCTTTTCAGGATATTTCTAAAAGAAAGGCTTAAGACGAAGAAGGATCGTTTGTAAGCAAAGGCATTCAATCATATCAGTACTTGTTTCTGGGAAGTATGATTCAACTTGTATTGTCCGAAGTAGCAGAACGCCTTTTTGACAGACTGCTCTCAAAGCCTTTCTACCCCATCCCCTACCCCACCTTACCTACTATTCGTAAAGGCTCTCCCAGTAAAAGTTTCTCTTGCTTTTTCTACAATTCTTTCAGCAAAGCGCTCAAATTTTCTGACTGCTCCTCTATCTTGAAATACATCTTTCATAATCTTTCCTTTCTTTTAGTTTTTGAATTTAAGTTATTTTGGAAAACCTGCCTACATAGCCTAAGCAACATTCGCAGTCCCTTTCTCCTCTTATTACTTATTTGTTTATAATGTCTGCCTTCATACAGAGAAATTCTCCTGCCTTTTCTAGCCTCCTTTCAGCAGTGTCTAAATTTGTCCTGCCGCTTTTAGAAAAATCCTGAATTTTCTCAAATTTCCTGGGTGAATATTTTATATTGGAATTCTCCAAACTTTTGCCTACTCTTCATCTGTTTTCAGTGATGAGCCACTGAAAACTTCTTCCAAATTGTATCCTCCAAACTCGCAATTTATTTGGCGACATCTGTAGTTTGCCCTTCCGCTAGGATTTTTGAGCCAGAGCTTTCCTCCATCTTACCTTATAAGAATCTCGTCTCAACAATCTATATTCTCTCAAAATACAAGATATAAGTGATTTTTCTCATAATCTCGGTACAAATAGGTCCACTCTTTTCATGGAGTTCTATCAACGCCGCCGTGTCGCTTTTCTAAAGATTGGCCAAGGCTCAAAAGTACCTCTTGCTGATAGGCTCTCCTTAATCAAATGCGTTTTGAAAGGCGTAAACGAGTCTGAGCGATGTTACCACTAATGAGTTGAGCTACTTGTTTGTTGCACTTTGTTGGTTTGTGCTCTTGATCCTCGTCAGCAGAGACAGGCATCACCTACACGATAAGTGATCAGCTCGGTAAGCTCTCAGTGCAAAAATTCTGGCTTTTTTTTTATTTTCTGGCATAATATAATAGAAGACAATACACCAATATGCCCAGGTTTAGAGAAGAGAGATTCTGGAACTTACTTTTTTGGGACTATTCTGTGAGATTCACGGGCGAATGTCCTTAGATCAGTCTTGTCAAAAACAATCAACAGGTAGACTGCTTTAACTTATCAGATCTCGAAAACTCATGTTGTTCTGTGTGTTATAGCATAAGAGCTTCACAGACAGAGTGATCTTTAGTTAAAAAGATTCAACAAGAGCATGTTACAAAAACGTCAGCTGTACAAGTTAGTAATGACTCCTTACTCCCCAACAAGACGTATGATTTTAGGGTTTTCTGCTCATTATTTCATGTTTTGATGTCCCGATGCCGTCTACGGCAGCGGTAGTTTAACGTAGAGCTCTCAGTTATCTAAATTGGAAGAACGCATGCACAAGAAACATAGTAAATCTATCAAATCTAAATATTCTCGTTGTAATGAGCAAACGTAATGTGTTGTTGGAGCTGTGAATTGATTACTAACAAGGGAAGGATAGTTGGATGCCGCGGCCATTCCTAATGATTTGTATACCAAAAAATGCGCCTTCGAATGCAGATTCTGAATCTGTGCTCGATATCTGTGAAACGATCTTTTGAAGAAAGTTATGAACTTTTTTCCTTGAAAATTTAGCCTACTTTTGGATAGTAAAAATCACCAGATTTGATCTAGCCTACCGTTTGATGCTACTGAAGAAAATTTTAAACGTAGTAATATTTATTTAGACTATCTGGATCATACTCAGCATTTGGAAAGGAGAGAAAATTTTTTTATTGATGATTTCGACCCTCCGCAGGAACGCAATTTTTTTAATAAAAAAATCATAACTCCATTCAGATTATCGTTTCGCAGATATGAAAGACAGTCTACGAACCAGCATTCAAAAGCGCATTTTTTGGTATACAAATTATTATGATTGCCTACGGCATCCAAGTATCCTTCCCCTGTAAGACATATACAAAGTGTCCCAAAAAAATGTGCACACTGTTTGATTGTTAATAACTCTCTTGTTTTCATGTCTTTTGCCGAGCTAGAGGTACCATTCTGTAGAGCGAGGATAAACTTGGACTTAAGTATTGAGGGACTTATCAGCCGCTTTCTTTACATTGCTGTTGGATTACGGTAGGAACTTTGAGGAGGATTTTGAGCAATGGAAAGCTGTATTTTGCCTCAGAAAAAAGCCAAATATGCCAGAAGCTCTTGAGCTGGGTTAATCGCAGTCGCTGATTCTGAATATGAAAACTGCACGTCTGTACACTGTTTCTTTCATGAGTTATTTCAGATTTGGAGTAACAACTGATTTTCCAACGTTCAGCAGAAATGTGAATACGCCATCAAAAAAGCTCGAAAAACTGATGGAAAGTTATGTAGTGAAATCAGCACGCCTGAAAACCTTGCTACACTTTCTTTTGGATTTTTTAAGATTATTTCATCAAAAGGCTTATTCCACAGTGATGCTATATGCTGAAAGTTCATACCGTAATCCTACAGTAGCAAAAAGAGATTGGAGTTTCGCTTAATATTCTAAATCTAAGTTTATCCTCGCTCTACAGAATGGTACCTCAAGCTCGGCAAAAGACATGAAAGAAAGAGAGTTATTAACGATCAAACAGTGTGCACATCTTTTTGAGACACTCTGTATATAACACAGCAAAATAGGTTTTCGACGATATAATTACTCTTGAATTGGGAAATCTCCTACCGGGAGCTACCTTATCACACTAACTCACATCGCTAACAATCAGCAATGCCAAAAGAGTATTTGGAGACGATACGTGTTTCTTGCGTTGAGAACTCTGCTCAATTGCTTACATTTTTGAAAAGTCTTGAAGGTTAACGAAATTCCTTCAATATCTTGATTTCAAAATATTATATAAATAAGATCAATCGATTTTTTCGCTGATTATCGATTTACTATCGTTTTACACAATTTTCACAACAAAAACTCGTTTTTTCCTTCACATGTAATGGCATTTGGTCTACTTTTTGCAAGAAAATGACCATTGTGCCCTTTGATTAGCTATTTCGTGCGAAAGCTACAAAATCTCTTCTTGTCGTGCGCATTCAAAAGATTGCATAGAGTCGAATCCTTGCGTGATCTGGGCCTTTTATCCACACACTTTCATTTTTAGTTTTATTCGTAAGTTGCAAAATGATATAGTCTCTGAAATCAATCTTATTGTAACGAGAACTTCGACGACATCATACTACAACTTAGTACGTAAACAGTAACAAAATGGATATAACTACGCGAACAGTAACAAAATGAATATACTTTTATGCTCAGATATGCGCGCATATAAGTTCTTGTATAAATTCTATAAATGAAGGCTCACACAAAACAATACCAACCACAATATTATATAGGCCTAACGAGACATAACCTAATTTGAGATATGACTCAAACTTCTAAATATGCTAAGAAAAAATAGTTAGACCCGTAAAATAAATATAGAAGTTGTCCATTTAACAGATGCCACAAAAAACAAAAAAAGTACAACACCAAAACAAGGCTAAATACGCTGAATGCAAAAGATAAAGAATCTCTGCAGTTACATACACTCAATCTACGCTTCAGCTTGAGAAAAGAACAAAACGATACACTTGCCCTAAGACGTACTATAGGAACGCAATCATTTAAATCCTAGACCAAAGCGGCAGAATGTGCCTTGAATCATCGCAAATTTGAAGTTAAAAAGCTAGTTTAGCCGAGCCTAGATCAAGTCGCTGTCGATGCATATAGAACCATAACTAATACACGTAAAATAATACGGAGGGACGCACTTTGAGCGCGTTTCTCTGCACGAAACAAAACCTTGTCACACTATGACTAGACAAATCAAGGGGATTCGTAATCCGAGGACCCGTTGGAAGGAATTCAATTAGAAGACAGAGAAGCGTCAGCACTTCAACGCAATTTTGGCATTGAACTTTGCAGGAGTATTCGTCGGTGTCACATCCGGTAAGGAGCCGAAGGAGCACTGAGATGAGCCGCGACTCAACGGGAGCGATGCATAGCTACCACATGGCGCAGCTCCGGATTCGTCACCGTTCTGGAACATGAAGACTTAGCTACGGAAAACAGGAGACGCTAAGGGATTTTTCACATTGCCGCGCGTAGGCTGAACTCAAAAATTCTCCAGTTTTTTTTTGTTTTTTCAATTAATCAAGTAAGTTAGTTAGTTAGTTTGATTCCCCGAACTGAATTCGTTACAACTAAGTGAACGGTCATAGATTGTCGGGAACGGTTGTCGGTGTTGTCGGTGTTGTCGAGGTTATCGGTGTTGTCGAGGTTATCGGTGTTGTCGATGTTGTCGGTGTTGTCGGTGTTGTCGGTGTTATCGGTTGTCGATGTTGTCGGTGTTGTCGGCGTTGTCGATGTTGTCGATGTTGTCGGGTTGTTGAGGTCAGAGACAGTTTAGAGAGCGCGCGAAACGTGGAGGCTATCATGAGGTCCTACAACGACCTGCAACCTCGGCAACCCCAACAACACCGCAACATCGACAACATCGACAAGACAACACCGCAACACCGACAACATCAAAAAGACAACAAAAAGACAACACCGACAACACCGACAACATAGACAACACCGACAACGCCGACAACACCGACAACATCGACAACACCGACAACCGTTGCCGGCAACCTATGGCCGTTTCCTAATGAAACAGCTCCTCTGGACAACGACAAGTGCACAACATGCTGACTACGACCAGCAGAGTGTATGTTTGCGTCAAAGGACCCAATCGTAAACCACTTACAACCGAGCATGGCTGAAGAGCGGGCAAAGCCGATGCCTTGCGCAAAATAACTGTCGTCTTGTCAGTTTTGTTGAACTAAGATGTTTGAGCGCATATGCATAGTTTAAATAAAATAAATGAGAAAAGGTCTAATTTGAAAAGGGTAAATCTTATGCTTGCACCACCTAAACTTGCAGTCTGCGTCATTCTTTTATCATAGCTATACTATTGATTAAATTTTGATAAAGTACGTGCTGACGAATCAAAAAGAAAAGGTCGCCACCGCGAACTCTCAGACCACATTCCTTTCCCTAAAGTGCGCACGTGTCGCACATGACGTCTGATTTTACCTGTCAAGGAGAATTTGTGCGCTACTACGTGAATGGTATTTATCTGTACGCTTTGTCTTGTGTTATCGCGCTATCCGTCATTTTTTTGCAGAGGGAAGTGAAGAATATTTTAAGTAGACCTACCTCAAGCATTTTCAGTCTTAGAGCTAATTTTTCGCCAAATCGTGCACGATAACCGGGTGATATCGTATCCATTAGCGAAAACAATGAGTCATAGTACTTGGTGAACAGCTCGAGGCGGGTGAAGTCGCCAACCATGCAGTCGAGACGGAGTGAGGTGATACGCCAGCCTTTATGCGTTAGTTCCAAGCAGAATGGTTGCTCTAAAAACAATAATGTTAATATTGTTAATGTTGTGGGCATATTGCAACAGCTCCACGGCTAACCTTCAATGGTTGTAAGGTTCACGAAGATGAGGTCTTGAGTACGAGGAAGCATTTCAGACACACTGATTGATTGCACGGCAAATGATAGCTCGTGAACAGCTGCTAAACATAACAAAGATAAGAATAAGATAATAAACAAAACTATTGGAGAATAAGTTGTTGACAAGGAAGCTTACCTATAGCTTCGAGCTCCAGCGATGAATCTCCACGACTTCCTGGATTGGTTCCAGCAAAAGAGCGATTGATAGAAGAGACCTTGTGCAGTGAAAACGGCAGACTGCTGAAATAAAAGATCTGGTTGCAATGTTGATAGCTATCAAACAGATTCCGAAATGGTTAGTGTGTTTATTATTATCTTGGCTTAATTTCACCAATATTTTAACTTATAAGGCGGTTTTCATTCATAGCAGTTTGCTATAAATTTCATTCCTTACCCTGGTGGTGATCCGATCTTACCGCAGCGAAGACATGGGATTGGCTCGGTTTTCAGCATTTTTATGTTATCTGCGAATAGGGAGATACTGCGCATACAGGGTCTCATGACGAACACTTGAGATATTCGGTAGAACCTTCTAGCACGGACACTTGTAGGTTGGATGGAGATTGGAGGAGAGGCCAATTATACTCAAGACATTGGGGCGGGACGTTCAAAGAATTACAACATGATAGACAGTTGATCGAAGGTGCAAATGGGCGTATATAAAGAAAATAAGAAGAGGGAGAAGTCAGCCAAATATGACAGATAAGGAGATATAACTGCTCAAACGTGTGAAGACCAAAAACGGAAAATGCGTCCAGCTCTGGAAATAATTCGACTCTAATGGAATATCAGTATTCGCAAGCATCCGCACCAGTGCCCAAATAAGACTTCGGTCATGTGTTCTTAGCTGGATTCCAATCAAAATGTACTCTGTGCATATTCACGTGAACCAAGGCTGAAGACAAGCTTTTTTCACACATCAGCTGCTGATATCGGAAGATCCTTTTTATCAAACGGCGCATTTGCACCTCAAGCGTGATGATACGTCCTTGCACCAACACAGAGTGCAAAGTGTTAAAATGGTCACGTGTGACTGTTTTCGCTACTGTACAAGACTCATATCATTAGCAGGGGGTCTGATAATGCTCAGCAAAAAAAATGTGTAACGAAGGCCTTGCAAAAAAAAAAATAGCGGTCAGAGGTGTGGCACCAAGCATTTGTTCTTAGCACCCCCAAGAAACACTTATAAGAAGAATTAACCACAGGCTGACTTCAACCACTAATCCCTTGAGAAGAAAAGGCTGCCAGAAAAATTTAACACTTTCCAATGGCATACATAGTACACAAAAGTATGATGCAAATTCGTTTTTGCACCAATGCTGCAATCAACGGCGCTGCCCATTAAGGCAATTACTCTGCCTTATAGCGTCTTATCAACTTTCTGGAAAATCCATTACTAAGATATGGAAATTGAACTGAGGATCTAAAAAGGTGTTCCAGTACTTCGGACAGACGGCAAGACAAATTCAATTTTGATGATAGTTGTGAGGATATTAAGGTTTGTTTTTCCCACAGCTGGGTTAATGGGTGCCGATCAAAACGAAAGAGATGTCAGAACTTCAAAAAGAAACACTTGTGATTTCGATACTTTCCATACCGTTTGCACTTTCTTTCAGTGAGAGAAAATTTTGAAATCTTTTGATGACTTGAATGTGAAATTGCATTTTTGTAGTAGTATATGTGAGAAAGGAAGATTGAAAGGATACAGCTATTAGGTGTCACTTTGATGTTTTTTCGAACTATATGCCTTCGCAATGGAACGAATTCAGTGACTGAAGATACTGAACTCCATTTTCTTTATTTCAAACAAAATATTTGAAATAATGCGATAGATTAGAGTTGCTCTCGCTGAACCCTAACAACATTCTGTCTTTTCTTGATATGCCTTGAAAGTGGTTTTTCACGCCCACACTATACAGCTGTCTTGACACAGATACTATTGAACTTCTTTCTGCATCAAGCTATCTTATGCACGCTCGTTCACTGAACACGGAAGAAACTCAAATCCCGGGGGTTTAATACGATTACATCCAAATTAGCGACCTTCCAAACTTTCCGTTAGAAAACAGCCAAATGTGAGGCAAGGTGACAGAGCCAGGAGCGAAGAAATTCGCACGAGTGAAAATGATGATGATAACAGCAATGACGTCGGTGACAGAAACACGCAGTTATGACGTTTGTGTCAGTGTCATAATATCGTAAAAGTTTTCCAGGAAAAATAGGTAATGATGACCACTCGAAAATATCTAGCGGTTGCTACTAACTCATTCAGGGCCTTTATTGCCACCTCTACGTGCTGTTTTCAAATTGTCCCATATCAAGATGTTTTTCATATTCGCTCCAAGTTAATCATTTACCTCAAAAGAATTTCCGTTTTGATGTTAATTATTTTAGAATGCTTCACATAGGACATTCACTGCAGTGACTACAATATTCTTGTTTTCGCTATCCACTTGATGGATTTCACTGAAAAACAGTCAATTTGATTAGTCAGAACTTTTCACCGTGGTATTTGCGGTTGAACTTGGTCACCGCAGGAGCAGAGAATGCAAACTACAAAGAACTCACAGAGGACTCCAGATGAAAGAAAAAAATTGTGGTTAATTTTCTCCGCTTGAGTAGTATTCCTATAATATGCAGCAGATGTAATTACATTAACCATGTTTTAACTATGTATATATTACACAAACTTTATTGATTTACACTCATCTCCAATGCAAATGCACGATGCTGCAAGCCGGTTGCGACGCGGTTAAGTAGCTCAACTCATTCATTCAAATTCTTACTCACTGCATATGACCATCGTTATTGCAAAAACAGCCACAAGACCTCTTCAATCAGCAAAAGCGATATTCCGTTGTAAGAATGATAGCCGCATTAGCAAGGAAAAAGGTTTGCACTGAGTAGGTGGCTATTAAGCGCTTTTTCCCACCCTATGACTCAGACACGAGTTCTTACGTCGTAGACAGTTTTTATGAAAAAAAACGGGATTGAATGGCTGTGGCAAGAAGTGAGATTAATAGCTTTTGGCACAAGTCTGGAATCACGCGCTCCCGTAAAGACGGCATTTCACGTTCTCTACCAAAACTTTGCCCTTTTACGCAACTAATCTTTGTGCTATCGTGCAAGTGAACTTCACGATTTTGAATGTCTAGATTACTTAGTAAGTGATAGTAGTGATCATTACCCAATATCGAGGAGAAGATTAGGAGAGGACAAAAAGTTTTGGCACTAAATGTCTGTCGCCACGCCCCCTTTTGACTTATAGATGAAAACGAAGTGTCAATATAGCTTTTAAAGATAGAAAAGGAAAGAGAAAGAGAAAGAGAATGTTAATCTGAGCTACCACCTCGAACATAGGTCGATTTCAGTCAAAAATGCTGTTGATAATCTGTACATGATCATGAAAATTTTGGGATAAAACAATGCCTTATTAGGTCCGTGCTGTACTTAATCCACTTGACCCCTCGATCGACGATCGACTTCATTTACTTTGCTATTGGTCAAATTAGTGGACTGATCAATAGCGAAGTGGATCTCCGCTTGATCCATTTGATACAGTTGTTTTTCGTCATTGGTCGATTCACCAATTTGACCAATAGCGAAGTGGATGAAGTCATAGAGCGGATCAAGGCGTACCTTATGTGATAATACAGTATAATCTAGTGATACAGTATGACCGCTGAGAATGAAATCGTAATCGCGTATACAAGCTCTAAAAAAATGGACACGTTTCCTCCCACTCAGCAGAAAGATAAGAGGAGTGCTAACTGAGCTGAGAAAATAACCAAGCACATAAAATGAGAATCCTCAGATCCTGTTTGAGGCAAGGAACAGAGTGTTGCTAATGCCAGATGACGTCTATGTAACTCTCAACACTCATCACTTTCGTTCCTTTCCTTATATAGCTAATGTTTCAGGCCACGTACCGGAAGGGAGGAGGATGGGAACGCATTGACTTTTTTGTGTACTTCGCCATTTCCAGACAGACGAAGACATAATGTACTTCGTGCTTTGATAAAAAATATTTCCCTAGCGTTCGCTTTATGTGTCGACCAAATATTAACGTGTGGGCGTAGCACGCAAGTCGAAGCTGTTCCGGCGTTGAGTAGTGTATCAATGATGAAGACGGAAATGTCAGAGAAAATGGATACTTGCTGTGATTTATGACGGGAACTAAAAGTTTAAGTTCAAAAAAACGGAGCGCCAAGGAAATTTGAGGTATGCCCCTGCTGCAAATATAACTCTTTTTTACAGCTTTATTGTCACCTTCATACAAATCGACAATGAAATTCCAAGTACATTTTGGTGCAGAACTATTGGAAAGTGGGATGACTCATTCAAAATAAGCAACTTGCGTTTTTACACCAATTGCATTTGGTGAATGGGCGCAGCCTTTCTCGTACTAACCATGCTAGTTCATTTAGAAAGTGTGGTTAGTGTTTCTAGACGAAGTCGTAAATGAGAAGATACTGCTAGACGAAACGAGTGTTTTGAGCAGGTTTGAGCGTGAGGTCAGGCGCGCCCGACCTGAAGGATCGTCTTGGGGGGTATGACTGAGGGGGGGGGTTGTAATTATGAACCGAATTCGTTTAGTTGGGAGCTACGAAGGTGAAGAAGAAATGCGCTAGTCCGGTGGATATCGTAATCATCAGTATTGAAGGGATGACGGCCGTAAACAGCATACTGATTGTTTCCACAATCGAAATTTCAGCCAAATTCAAGTTTTCATCTTTTACCTTTACATATCATGAGGTCGCCAAGTAAGCTTGCTGTGTGAAATGAGTATTATTTCCGTAATCAGCATGTCAGATTAGCTTTATGAGCTCTAAAGTCATTACCTACCGCATTTTCTAGTGTTTCGCAACGTCTAGAAAGCGTGATTTTCAAACATGAATAACTTTCAAAAGTGAGAATAGCCAGCTTTTTTGTACTCATAACAAAGTAACGTTCCCTACGTTACCTAAAACGTTCCAAGTCTATGCTAGAAATCAGGCTTCATATCGCTTTCAAATAGTGAAGTAAGAAGTGCTACTAAATTTCGAACCGGCGCGCTCTTCACATTAAGTGTTTTGACTCTACGGATTACTACAAGGCCGAAACAAGTCAAAACAAGCTCAAACATATTGTAGAATCGCTTATTGTGGAATCTTCGAGTGTTGTGCTAGCGAACCACTTAAAACTTGGATAGAAAAGCTTACTCGAAAATAAAGTCAATGGGATCAGGCGCAACTCCCAAA